GAAAAGCATTATTGACAAGTTTTTTTTTAAAAAGATTTTAAAACATTTCCCCAATGTCTCAATGAAACTCAGAGGGATAACTTTTGCCTATGCATCAAAGTCAGTAACCTCAACGTGAGAACGAATTAGAAATCATACTCTGCGATAATATATTAAATAGATCTTCCCGAGGTGCAAACTTCCTCCTCGAAGTTTTCTCGTTATTAGGTGGGAGGAAATAATCATAATAATGATTAAGGAAATAGCAAATTATGAAGAGGATTTGATAAGGAACCGAATTAATATCTTGCGAGTTCCAGGTTTGCGTGAACAAAATTAAAGGCAAGCGGAACAGGTGGAAAGCAACGTTTGTTTATTTGTTTGTCTTAACAAACGGGGATGACTTCCCTAGGAAGTCAATGAGGGAGTAACTGTGGGATAGGTTATCCGCTTTTTACCTTTAATTTTAAACAAGGAAAAACTGTTATTCCTGGCATAGCAGAGATTCTCTCTTCAATCTAACTTGATTTTCAAAAAATATTGAAACAAGAACATCTAAATGCCATTGACATTAAAAAAAGACGCAAATAGATCGCTGTAGCTATTGATATGGTAATTTGAAATATGGCGACGTCTAGCATTCATGTTATGGATGAAGTTGAAACACTGTTATGCTATAGCAAACATGCTTTCTGTGCTTATACGGCACTAGAATTTCAATCCTGAGCATCTTCACAATCTAAAGCTCATGAGATCGAGAGGGAAAATGTCACAAATAACTTTTTAACAGCCCATTTAAGATTTCAAGTGATGTTATGCGGATAACTTGTTCAAATGGTAATAGCAATTAAGCCGCAACAATTAAAATTTCACGGAAGGACGCTTTTCAAAAGAAAATCTACCGCATTCCATTTAGCATACAGATATTTATAGTTTAAGTGACCTGAAACAAAGTTGTAACTTTAAACTTAACATACCAAGCTTTGCAACAAGTTAATTTAATTAGCAAAATATTGCTAAAGAATCCAACAAAGCTAGTTCAAGCACAAAAGAAAACAGGCAGATAACCCTCAGTCACCGATAATTTAAGAAACTAGATATTAGGAAGAAATAGTTTGAAAATCATTTTAGATAAAGAGGTTTTACTTTTAGGATAATTTAGTTATTTTTATCATAACATAGAGAATCATAAACTTGGAGCGGAACAAAAGAAAACGAACACGCGTTACCGAGGGGCGGAGAAAAGACAAATTACCTCGCATAGACAATCAACGTGGTGTGATCTACGAAAATAGCAAAAATGTCACTAGAATGGCACTCCGCAGACATCAAACTGTACTTGTATTAATTAATTTTTCCCGAATGAAATTAACGAACACATGGGCGTAGGAGGTTTAGTATTAAGTATTGGAGTCGAGGTAAAATGATATATAAGGGATGGACGAAGTCATTGGACAACAGAAGCTTTCAGGACCGAAAGCCAGATTAAGAGCAAGCACAGAAGCTGAAACCACCAGGAAAAGAACTAAGTAAGACATAATTCTTCAACAAGAAATTGAGGACGAAAGTCTAACTACCAGCAAGCCGTGATTTACGACTGAGAAGAGTTGACTGCAACAACCCTTAAATTACTATTTCATTCAAGAACAAATTTCAAGCTATGGTTATCAAAAAGGTAAGATACCAGTTAAGTTATGAATCCTTACAAACTGTGTAGTTAGTAACAACTAACTTAAAACTAGTGTTTACTTTATTGCGTAAGCAATGGTCTAATATTTATCCATGTCGCTGTGTCTTTCTATGACAGAGTTACATTGATCCAGAAAAGAAAGTTTCGGTCATTAATCTCATCAAGATTCTAAGACAAAGTTCGAAGTGGATTTAATGTAAAAAAAAAGATGGGTGTAAAATCTCTTGTCAGTGTTTAGTTTTCGTTAGGCTAATCCGAAACTTTGAAAAAGTTAAATGAATAAAGGCTGAAAGTTTCTAAAGAAACTGTGGTGCTGCGTCGGTGAGGCTTAAAGCTATACTTAGCTTTAAGCTTTAAAGACCACATTTCGGGTGAACTTAACACAAACCTAATACTGTAAATGTTTTATCTTGTCCTTTTGAATAACACATCTTCAAGTAATAAAAGATTTCGAATGTCCAAGAACATTCCGACCCAAATTTTGCTTTTTCGTGCTATAAACATAGCCATTAACCACAGGCGCTTTCAAAGGACTTGTATTTGGAATCACTTTCCTTCGACTTTTCCCAAGGCAAAAAATAGGAGATTGAACCACTTATGGTTGTAATATAAGGACTATAAGCGAGCGAGCTTCGATATATATGTTCCCTGAAACGAGCAGAAAAGTCCATAAACTTGACAAGGTAAATTTTAACATCCCCTCAAGTATGTCTTTGTAACATGAGCGTAACAAAGCATTGGCTTTATGAGATGAGAGCAACCTTGAATGGCACAGGAGCAAGTTGACAAACATGTCTCATTTCTAGATTACTTTATCCACAAGTTGGTCATGGGTATTCTTTAACTTGTATTTAACTTTTTTAATCTATTGTTCCAGCGCTCCTTGATCAGAACGTGAAACTAAAAAATGGTTTTTTAATTACTTCAATGTCATGCTAGAAATTGGAACCTAATAAAATCTCTATCCTCTTTCACGTTACCCAAGAACCTCCCCCACCAGTAGCAGCTGACCTGGGCGTCAATTTTACGTCAATGCATTGACTGAAGCGAAGACGACAGGATGACACAAGTACTAATCACTCCTAGCTCTGCTCTACTATGATTCATTTGTTTGCTTTTTCTGTTTGCTTATTCCTGTTTTCTTTGTAATCTAGTTTTTGTTCTTCTTTAGCACGTGTTGGTGATCAGGTGCAATGCTTAATAATCTTGTGAAAACGATAAAAGAATCCTTTTTTTTTTTCTTTCGTCATTCACAGTTTTTGATGAGTGCGATTTTCGTCGTGGTCATTATTTTTGGTGCCATACTTCCACCTGGTTGCAGCGGTTGTGTGGCAAGACGAAACTTAACTGATACTCAACTGATGCATCGGATTCGTCAGAAGGGCTACCTTTTCATGAAAAACACACTCATTCGTTCCAACGGCTCCCAAAACTTCCTCAACAGGGCAAGTGCAGGCACTACACTGTGTCCGTGGAGATGGGTTGTAGATGACAATCCCGACCGACTTCCCAGATTCCTATCAAAAGCTGAGTGTCCTTCATGTAAGCATTATTGCAAAGCGGTACACTACACGCACACCTCTCTGATTCAGCGGTGCGATCGAACAAGCGGTCTGATGTATTGGTCGTGGATGCCAAAGACAATGGCGATAGCTTATGTGTATGTGCCTAATGGGAAATAATCCATCGCCAAGATATAACACTAAAAATATCTCAGGAGAACAGCGCTAATGTTGCTAGCCTAGTTATCTCGTAGAAGTTGGTTACAAGTAGTTTATCACACGTACGAAAGAGGAGGTGTAGTTGTGTGGAAGCTAATGGCATGTCAATAGGATCAAATCGCAACTTTGAATTTTTTAAATTGCAGCTCAGTTTTTGGAATTTACGTTTTAATGACATAATATTTCATTTACATTCTTTTTAAAGACATTTTAGGGAATTTTAGTCATGTAGAATCAATTGAAATTTCAGTATTATTTATGACAATATTTTGTTTAAGTTATTTATTTATAAAAGGTTTATGACGACAAGACAGTGCAGTCCGGTCAAATCTGGAACTTCCCCAAAGTTCAATTAAATTGAAATCTGGAATCGACCCATTTTTCATTTGAGACGGTTTCTTTTATTTTTGGTGATCTAAATAAAACCGATTGGCTCATCAAATACACGGCAGAATGAATAGCTTTGATTCTTGGGTTAGAAGTTCCTCATTTGTCAAATTAACTGCATTGTTGAGTCTGATCGATTAAGTTTCTACACAGGCCTACTTTGGATACAGGGCCTTAGTTCGCTAAATATAACAGCAAGTAAAAGACCCAGCGCGGAACAGGAGGAAAAATTTCGTGAAGACTTACCAAAACATAGACGCATCATTGCGGATTTTGTCTTTTCCTTTACTTTTACTGTAGGCGCTCGAAGGCATTGTAGTGGCATTGAAATCGCTATAATAACTGAAGAAAAACCTCAAGAGTCTAGCAAACTCTGAAATGTTAAATAAACGTAGATTTGCTCAAGCAAGTAGTATTGTAAAAGATTGCAAATTATCCCGAAGCTGTAAGTGCTTGTTCGACAATACTTTTTGGGTCACTCCTGAGAATTTGAAGCTAAAATTAAAAACAATTCTCTCAAGCTGGCAATAACCTAAACTCGAGGGGGAGAGGGTAAGTGTCGTTTGTTAACCTTGACTGAGAACTGTACGACAAAAATCAGTTGTAATAGAGTTCCCAGACGTTCTCGAAGATGTCCATCGTTAATTTGCCTTTTTTTTTTTTTTCACGTCTTTCTTGTCTTCGGGAGGTTCATTTCAACCTTTCGTGTCGAGAAACGGTCTATCAGCAGTCCCCTTTATGACGAGCGAGTCCTTCTCTCGAAGTGAAGTTACTTCCGCTTCAATTATGAATTGTTTTTTTTTTCGAATAAAGACCCTCTCCAACTAGTTAAAACGGCTTTATTCTGACCAGAATTGCGTTCAGAGCATTATTTCTTCTACCTTTTTCAATTATCAGCAGTACTATGTTCCTGCCGGGGCACTCTGCTTCTCCACAGCACCGCACTCCATATCTAGGGGAAGCACTAGCTCCTTTCTTTCCTACGAACCATAAAAACACCAACAAAGACCGATCTCTGGACGGTGAGCTAATATCTGCTGACTGAAATATACTTTTCATGAAAATATCAATCAAAAATGGAGATGTGCAACTTAAATTTCAAGTATTTTATAGCCTTAAATCTACATTTCTTATATTTCATCTCAGAAAATGTGTACAATTTTTTTTTTACAATCTACAAAACTGAAAAATATTTTCTAGATTTCGCTAATTTCGCGCTCGAAAATTTATCTGAGATAATATATATCTAGTATATTTTAAATATATTTTAAAAAATCGTTCTGGGTCTAAACTGATCACACTTGACTCCCCTTTCGTGAGGCGGCATTCCTCATCTCTATGAGTGCCTTTTGAAGAACGTGGACAAAAAACGCTTCAACATCAGCAGACATGGGTTTTTCAAACATATGCATTATCTGTGTGAGAACTCCAAACGCCATTCGGCTAGGTTTGGACTGTATGCAGGGAAATTGTCTGGCCCCCGAGAGGTGGCAAGCAGTCCTCCCTTGTACGATGGTGGTTGGTACAAGCATGGGCTTGGTCACGGAGGGATCTTTCCTCGAGCGTTTAGCAGCATGAATGCCCTCTGACTTTTTTAATGGAACAGTGAATTGATCTGTCGACGTAAACGTCTCATAGTAACTTGGAAATAAAGGATTTTCAGCAGATTCTGTATTCCGCCCAGCCACTGAATTCGATGGTTTCACTAAGTTATATCCTTTCCTCTCAAATTCTGCGCCGTAGTCACGGGAATAAGGTTGATGGTTCCTCGCTGTCTCGCTAGGGGTCTGGCTATCCCTTTTTGGGTTGTAACGGTGTAACGAGTCCGTCTGTTGAGAAACCTGAAAATCCTCTTTTGAGGTATAAGGGGGCAATAAGTTCTGCTCATCAATATCAAAACGACCATAGAAACAAGGCTGAGGTCCTGTGTCACCCATCTGTCCCTCCAGAAACCTCTCAATCTCGGCTATATCGTCCAAGAGCTTTTTCTCTGCATTGTTGTCTAGAATGGCTTGATTTAAGGACACTGTATTGCTGCCATTATTATTTTGCAGGACGCTAGCAGTCCTGTCGCCTGAAGCCCCAGTGGCATGATTGTTCGGTTTGTCTTTTCGAGATGAGCTGACATTCCTGGTTTGTAACTTAAAGTTCACGCATTGTGGCAAGACACAGAAAATGTCCTCGCAATTTTTCCCATGAACACCATATTCGAGATTCTTTTGAAACACTGGGGTACTACTCATGACCAGCGGTATATGCTGAAGTCTTTTCATGTTGCAAAATACCTATAACAGAAAAAAGTGGTATCCTGTCAATTCGCCACCAGAACAAACTCGCCACC